CCTCTTATCTTATGCCTCGTTCTTTAAATCACTGCGTATCCACGTATCCGCGTATCCACTAAAAACATAGCTCAACTAACTTCTTTTATATAGGTACTCAGTCCTCTATCTTATGCCTTGCTTTAAACCGTCACTGCATCCACGTATCCGCGTATCCACTAAAACATAGCTTCAACTAACTTTCTTTATATAGGTATTAGTCCTTCTTATCTTATGCCTCGTTCTTTAAACTTCGTCACTGCGTATCCACGTATCCATGTGCATCCACTAAAACAGTTTCAACCACTTTTATATAGGTACTAGTCCTCTTATCTTATGCCTTGTTCTTAAATCTGTCACTGCGTATCCACGTATCCGCGTATCCACTTCCACAAACATAGTTTCAATTTATTCTTTTATATAGGTACTAGTCTCTTTATCTTATGTCCATCCCGTCCATGATCTATGCCTTGTTTCCTTAAATTTCGTCACTGCATCCATTCCATCTCGCGTGTATCCACTAAAAACATAGTTTCAACTAATTTCTTTATATAGTACCTTGGTCCTCTTATCTTATGCCTCGTTCTTTAACCTGTATCCACGTATCCGCGTATCCACTAGTTATGTCGGCCTAATCTCTTTATATATAGGTATACTTAGTCCTCTTTATCTTATGCCCTTAAACTCGTCACTGCATCCACGTATCCGCGTATCCACTAAAACATAGCTTCAACTAACTTTCTTTTATATATGTACTAGTCCTCTTATCTTTATGCTCTGTTCTTTAACTCGTCACTGTATCCACGTATCCGCGTATCCAATAAAAAACATAGCTTCCAACTAACTTTGTTTATATAGGTACTAGTCCTCCTTATCTATGCCTCGTTCTTAAATCACTGTAAATTCGCGTATCCACTACAAAAACATAGCTTCAACTAATCCTTCTTTTATATAGGTACTAGTTTTTATCTTATGCCCTCGTTCTTAAACTCGTCACTGCATCCACGTATCCGCGTATCCATCACTAAAAACATAGTCAACTAACTTTCTTTTATAAGGTACCAGTCCCAATTTATGCTCCGTTCTTAAATCACTGCGTATCCACGTATCCGCGTATCCACTAAAAAACATAATTCAACTAACTTTCTTTATATAGGTACTAGTCTTCTTATCTTATGCCTCGTTCTTTTAAACTCGTCATCAGTATCCGCGTATCCACTAAAAACATCGCTTCAACTAACTTTCTTTTATATAGGTAATATTCCTTATTCTTATGCTCCTCGCGTTCTTTTAAACTCGTCCTTCTTATTTTATACCGTTCTTTGTAACTCGTCACTGCGTATCCACGTATCCGCAGAATTAAAAGGGTGCCTTTAGAAATTGAACGGGTATTCTATAATTGTTCTTACCGCTCTGCAGATTACACTTATCCGTGCGAGTTTTGTTTGCGATAGTTTCATTATCCCATTGGTAGTCATTATAGTCTCATTTTATTTTAGTTCATCTTATCTATTGCCAATATATAGAATATTGAGCGCTCTTTTATCCAGGGAATATTATCCGTACCATATATATATATATATATATATATATTGGTAAGTGAGAAGAAAATACACAAAACCTTCATCTCGACAAGCCTACTCTCTGTGATTGCTCACTCTTTCAGGGATTTTAATGAATAAAATACTTAAATCAAAGCTTAAATATATATGCTACAAGATGATGACGAAGCTAGTGTATTAATCAAGGTGTATAGTTTCAAGTTAGATGACGGAAGTTAGAGTATTAATTACGGTGTATGGTTACAAATTACATAGGAGTGTTTTTGGATCTATGGCGACAAGAGGAAATAAGTTCGTTGCGTTTATTGAGGGATGATTTGATGGTTGGTACAGGATGAAGAATTTTTCTTTAAGGCAAAGGTTGCATCTTTTATCTGAATGTTGTATGGTTTGCTGTGTGTAATGATGTTCCATGAGATGTCGTGGTCGATATTGCTGTCTTTAACGGTCCAAATGTGCTTACTGACCGGTCGAGTTTCGTAGTTTTTGTGGCGGAAAGAGGCAGTGTGATTTCTATGTCTAGTCTTAAATCGTTTCTCTGTAAGTCCAATGTACGTCTCTTAGTTGTGTTATTGTCTTTGCGTTTTTCCGTTAAGTGGGCAGTTTTGTTTTGTCGGCAGTTGCATGTTTTGTAAGTGTCTTTTGTTCGCGGTGTTGTCGTTAGTTTTGTCTGATGTTCTCAGTATATGTTTATGGCTATTATTTGTTCGATATTGTTCATGCAGCCAGCTGAGTTTGATGGTGTTACGGTTGAATATTTTCCCGAGTTTATGGTCTATGGGGAAGTGTTTGTTGATTAATGAAAGGAATGCAGCCGATGTTCGTGGCATTTTTTCATGAATGGAGGGTTGTACCAAAGTATATTTTGTCGAAGTCTGCTTTTCCGTTTGGTAGTAGCGTCTGAGTCGAATTTTAGTGTATCGGTATCCGTTTTCGTCGAGTGCTTTTTGGTATGGTGCAGTTATTTGGTCAAATGATGCTTTGTCGGATGATAGTGAAGATAGACGTTTGTTGATGGCGGTCGGGTATGTTCTTCTTTCGTTATGTTTGGATTGGTTGCTTTTGCTGTGGACGTATTGCAGAGAAGAGTTGGTTTTGTGTATGGGCGATATGAAAAATTGTTGAGATTGAAGGTGATGTCGAGAAGTTGATGATTTTTTGTTTGCTTCAATAGTTACGCGTAGTCCATTGTTGCTGAACATCCGGTATTACTTTTTAATGTTCTCTGCTCTCGTGGTGTGGTGTTTGAAAATGGCAAGTCCGTCGTCTCGATAAAGTCCTAAGGTTCAAGGTGATGTTTTGTGAAGTTGAGAAAGGAGGTAGCTTCCTACGAGGCCTCGCATGTCTCGGCTCCGTCGAGCTACCCATTGTGACGCTGAATGTAGAGTTATGTTTTTTTTGCCAGGAATATTTGCCAGGTATAAGGAATGAATTCTAAAGTGGTAATGAAGTTTTTTCGGCGTTTAGATGTTGTCGTAGGTTGAGGCGAACCAGTGCTTTGCTTAGTGGTCTTGATTAATGGATGGATAAAAGCCCACGATGTCGAAGGATATGAAGGCGATGCTTTTTTATGTTGATAGATTTACACCTGACGCTATCAACAACGTCTATCTTCACTATCATCCGACAAAGCATCATTTGACCAAATAACTGCATAATACCAAAAGCACTCGACGAAAACGGATACCGATACACACTCAAAAATTCGACTCCAGACGCTACACAAACGGAAAACAGACTTCGACAAAATATACTTTGCACAACCCTCCATTCAGCAAAAACGTCTACACGAACATCGGCCCATTCCTTTCATTAATCGACAAACACTTCCCATAGACCATAAACTCAGGAAAATATTCAACCGTAACACCATCAAACTCAGCTACAGCTGCATGAACAATGAACAATAATCAACAACCATAACAAACATATACTGAGAACATCAGACAAAACTAACGACAACCGCGAACAAAGATGACTTACAAAAACATGCAACTGCGACAAAAACAAAACTGCCCACTTAACGAAATTGCCTGCAGTCATCCGTTGTTTACCAAGTTACTGTAAAACGCAAAGACAATAACACAACTGAGACGTACATTGACTTACAGAAAACGAATTTGCAACTAGACATAGAAATCACACTGCCTCTTTCCGCCACACAAAAACTACGAAACTCGACCGAGCTCAGTAAGCACATTTGACCGTTAAAGACAGCAATATCGACCACGACATCTCATGGAACATCATTACACACAGCAAAACCATACAACAGCACCAGTAAAGATGCAACCTTTGGTTTTAAAGAAAAATTCTTCATCCTGTACCAACCATCCAAATCATCCCTCAATAAACGCAACGAACTTATTTCGTCGCCATAGACCAAAACACCCTATGTAATTTGTAACCATACACCGTAATTAATACTCTAACTGTCATCTAACTTGAACCATAACCTTGATTAATACACTAGCTTCCGTCATCTGTATATATATATTTAAGCATTTAAGTATTTTTATTCATTAAATCCCCTGAAGAGTGAGCAATCACGAAACAGGCTTGTCGGGATGAAATTGTAGTTTTGAAATATTTTCTCCTTACCAATATTTACATGCCTGCCTCGGGCATCGAGCACTGTTTTTAATACGGAAAATCATAAATTATAAACTTCCTAAATATATATATATATATATATATATATATATATATATATATATATATATATATATATATATATTATATATTAAAAAAACACTTGAGAAAAACGACTATTTTTTTGAAAGCAAACATGTTTCGACATTATCAGAATGCCATCTTCCACCCGTTTCGCTCATTCTAAATGGGTATTACCCAGAGTTCTAAATTTTAGAATGCGGAAGATAGCCACCAATCCGTTTCGCTCATTCTAAATGGGTATTACCCAGAGTTCTAAATTTTAGAATGCGGAAGATAGCCAATTTAGATTGCTTTCTGTGCTATCTGAAGGCTATGTTTGTCTCTCCTGACCTCAATATCTCTGGACACTGTTAGTGTGAGACGGACAGAAAAGATGGCGCTTAGTAGGAGCGGCAATCGCAGGGTAAAACCATACTCTTTGACTGTGAAGACATACTCTGCGGCTGGGAAACTTAGTAGGAAAAATATTTCTCTCTCTCCTAATGTTGTTCTTCCTAATGTTGTTCTTCCCATTCGCACGATCGATGCATTTGAAGGCTTTCAAGAAAACCTTAACGAAGGTACAAATAATTTACGGAACTGGATCTCGATATGAAAGGAGGAGAGTGAATGAAAACGAATCCTGGAAGTGTTTGCAAGATAATTTAGTAAAGTCGTACATCGAAAATTGTGCCATGTTACCAGGACAACTCTGCGTAAAATGTTTAGAAGATGGGATACCAGCAAAGCAGAAATTAGATGTCGTGATTGCGGTCACGGACAGTTCTACTGTTTTGAGTGTGCGAATCCCTTCATCGAACGAGAAATGTTTTCCATTTGGTTGAAGTATGGAAGGTAAGCTTAATTCTTTCTGGCGGCACAGATGAATCCCTATAAAATTTGCCTGCCAGCAAAACATAAACAAGTTGTCGTCTATTAGAAGGCAATTCTAGGTGATTATTTCCAAAAGTCAATGCTTCAGATGAAATATTTTTGCTTTTACATTTGGAATTTGGCTTGTTAAGTTCTATTATTCATCAAATGCTGGCAATTTTACAACCATGTCGTAACTCTAAAGTAACTTAATCTGTAGTATTTTAAATAAGATATGGATTCCATTTGAACAATTATGTGGACACTGAGCATGAAAACACTGTGTGAACCCATGACCTCTGCGGTGCCAGTGCAGTGCTGCACCAGCAGAGGTCACACCAAGAACCTTTGAGTCACATGGATTTTTCAGGTCCTGGAGATTAAGCTAAATTGTCCAGCAATGCTAAGATCAATCTCATTTAATTTTAAACACCACTGCATAAACATTCATCTGTAGTATTTTGTTAAAACTATCAATCATTTTCAAGAAGGATATGCTGCTATATGCTGTGCATGGTGCCTTATGTAATGTATACATGTTCTGATGCTTAAATAACTACACTTTAGACTGATTGTGAAATGTTTGTTCCATTACTTATTGGTGGTATATTACGTGATAGTGAACATGCTAACTGCTCTTCAACAGAATCACGTACTATAATATGTGTGGATGGAAAAGGTACAGTATGGCAACAATGACAGTATTTTGACTTTGACTACATGTAAATGTGTATATGTTAGTAATACTGTTAAGCATTAGCTTCATTTAGGCCAATAATTTCTATGTTAATTATTTACATATCAATTAATCCAATTTTTAATCTCATACAACATTTAGGTCGGCAGCATTTAAAAATTGTTGAATTCTGTCAGTGTATTAAGTATGCTGAAAAACTAATTAAACTCCAGCTGTGGCCAGACCCATCAAATAGTGGAAATAGATGGGTTGTACTTTGCAAAAAAAATTTATTGAATCACTGTTATTTACAAACAACATAAATAATGTGTATTTGCCTCAAATAAGGTAAGAGCACATTCAAATTGTACATGAAGTTTCCTTTGCTGTTATAACTTTGTGTATTCAACCTTATTTTATTTTTGAAACAAATGCACAAGTTTACTAGGTGTTCATTTTATTCTTGTTAAGGTCAAAACATATATAATGTGTTAAACAATGGATCATTTGATGAATACAGGTATGTTATATGTTATAAAACAAAAGTCTATTTACATTTATTGTAGACCTAATAGTTAGATTATATGTGTAGAGTAGTACAGTCTAACCTGTTTTAAGTACACACCATTGGACAACAGACTAGTGTCAGCTTAATGAAAGTGTCAGCTTGATTGAGGTTTCATCATTATACTTCCATTATTATTAGCTATATGAGATTAAGTTTTGGATTTTACACAGTATCTGCTTAGTACAGGGTCATTTAATACAAGAGGTTTGACTGTATATATTATATCATTTAAGAATTTGATTTTTTTGTCAGATATTTCAAACACCAAGTCAGATCATTAAAGTTCATACAGAAAGACCTGATTGATTATAGAAATTGCCCTCTTTGCCCACAAGTCAGTATTTGATTTCTTTTTTCTACTATTTGCTTTGTGAACTATTTTAAATTATATGTTTTTGTCACATATATTATCAGAACATTTAAAGTTGTTGTGAAATATGAAGTGTTACATGTTTACCATAAAATTCGTTTCATTTTATTAAAGAGCTTTGTTTGCTTTAGACTGGTGAGTTAGGTGTGGCCATTCATTCCATGGATGCTTGCTTTGGTCTAACTCAAAAAGTTGGCAGGGAATAGTTTTGCCGTCCCAAACCATGGCTGCCTTAAGTTTGCTGATCAGGATGAAGTAGATGATTTTGTTGATCATTATAGCAAGTCTAATAACAAAGTAGGAGAGGTAATTATTGCATGATGAAGGACTTTGAAGCCTTTCAAAAGTATTCTGTGAAGGGAAGGGGAGTGAATAGTTTGAAAACAAACTTTATATGTAGTCCAATGAAAGCAATGGCAAAGCCAGCACTTTTTACTTTTACATTGCAAATATTTTGTATTCAATCACTGGAAAAACAATGAATGGATTTGATTTTCTAAAGAAATTATTAACAATTTTGCTGACAAATTTGCATTGTAAGAGTAAAGATTGGGCAGGCTTCGCCCTGAGAAAAGTGGGTCTATGCTTCATGCAGGTCCATGGGCCCTCATACATACGTAAGTAGCTACGTGGATTTAAAATCAAAATTACAAACAGCCAATTTTTTTCTTTTCCTTTAATTTATCATGTCTATGCATGGTCTATGACTTGATTGTGTAAACTGTCATGTATTTTTTATAGTAATAAAACAATTGTTATGTATGCGCTAATCTATAATGTGCTCCAACTTATTTTAGAGTTGTCAGATATTTAAGGCAGGAGAAGTTACAGAAGCACTTCACTCCAAAGGAAAAAATCAACTGTTTGATGAAAAGGAGTGTTTGGTAGTTGTTGCAGTCGGCATTCACACCCTGGACGATTTTTCAGCACTAAATATGGGGAAAGGTTAGTGTCTTAGCCTTGGTTTGCACGTAATTATCAATATTGTTGATCTTTGATGAGGTAGTATGGAGAACAAATCGTCGATTATAATTTCTTTTCCTGTGTCAATTTTGAAATAAAGGGACAAAGGACAAAACGATTCTGTGCTAACGAGATCTATTATTACCCTTTAATAATATTTAGTGTCTTATTATTAATATTCAGAATTTCGTATTCGCTGTTCCTAATCCAAAGCATTTTAAAAGATGCTGACCAAAGTCCTGGTGTTGATTTAAAAATAATGTATGATATTGGATGTGTATTATCATCACATTTAAAGGTATCTTAATGTTGGCATGTATGATGTGGGACAAGTTCATTCACCAACTAAACTTTGAATAAATTGGTACCGTTCTAGGCAAACAAGAGGCATGACATTTTGTCAAAAGTGTCAATTTCGGTGCCGATATTTCATTGTTATGGACACAAGGCTTCATGCCAGGTAATGAAAAAGCTTTGTACCTGGTAATGACAAGGATGGATTAAGAGGCGGGATAGCGAGGAATGTGCTCTCCTCCAACCTTGATTAGTGGAGATGGATGAGGAGTGGCATTTTCCCTAAGAAATTTATGTATATCAAACCATCAAGCGATCGTAATTGGGGTTTATGGAGCACAATTTCAAAAATCTCCAATCATTTTATATAAGTAACAAAATTTAACGAAAATGTCTTGCATGTTACGGCAACAAGCAGCCACTAGAATCTTATCCAAACTAGAGCACCCCCTCCCTCCAGAAAAGTACATCCCTGGGTAATGATGTAGCGATTGAAGAAAGACAATCTTTTCTGCTCTGGTTTCTTCCTTGATAAAAAGCCCCCGTAGGTAAAATATTATTTTTTAATGTCTTCAAAAAAACAGGTCAAGTTCAGTCCTAGAAGGCTCGATGGTTTTGGTCTTACAGATGGTGAGGCTATTGAAAGGCTCTGGGCTTACCTTCGTGGGTTCTCAGCCATTACTAAGGAGATGTCTGCCAGTAGAAGAGTAGATCTTTTGACAGACGCTCTTCTTCACTTATCTCGAAGAAATTTTAGCAATGCAGGTGCTTGAATATTGTCATTGCTTTATGCGTTGACACAATGAAAATGTTTTATTTGTTTGTTGCGCCTTAATTGTTTTAATTTTTTGTATATGATTTGTTTCAGGAAAATCGTTAACGTCGAAGCTTAAAAAATGTCTACAACTTAAAATTAAAACGCAACAAGAAATGAAGGATTTATTTAGCGAACTACCTGGTAAGTAGTTCTGGTAGGTTAGAAATTTCTTATGTTTTCTTTTGCCGAAAAGTATTTAAGATTTCTTTTTGCCTAACCAAACTCTCAATTCAATTTGCATCCAAGGAAATAAGAATTTATTTTGTTTGTTAGTGACGTACGATCCTGAAATTGTTTGTCAGTGGGAGGCCAGAGAGAAGGAAATTATGTCAAGAGTCTACCCAGGTATATAATGTTATTCATGGCAAATAGTTTCATTCTTAACAATTCAGTCTGTAGGATATAAAGACATACTTTTAAATACAGAACATAAAGAAATCACGGAAAACTGGAAAGTGACGTACGTTCAAAAGCTACTGCATTTTAAACAACTAAGGTAGGTTTTTTAATGTACTAAACTGGCTGTTTCTCTATAATACATGCCTATAGACGTTTTAATATTTCTTTTGAGCCTAATTGGTGAATTATTAAATTCTTAGTGCTACATCATTCGGATGTTTTGAAGAAAACCGGGAGATAACATCTGAAGATTACTCAATTCATCAGATGTCGAAAAAACTATACCAGTATGTATAAATGTGTCAAAGCAATATTTTGCTTTAAAGTTTTTTTTACATACGCGCAAAATTTATGTAAACAGGTTTCGAAAGATTTTAAAAGATATTGAACGAAAGCATTCTGTAAAAGAAAGATGGAAACCTGGTCATCCTAATTTTGACGTCGTTGCATTGCAAGTCATACAAAGAAAACGAAAAGATACTATCGGAGCTTTACATGGACTTTCCATAGAAAGGCATTTCTTAATAACATTGAAAAAGAAGTATGCAGGTACTGTAATGCACTGTAAATTTCGAATACTTGTAACCTAAGCTATGTTACCATATCTGTCTTTTGTTGTTCTTGTAAATGTTAATCTTGTATTCCTTTTACTTGTTTAGATGGTCAGAAAATTGCCACTCGCTTGTCCAGGCAAATCACCAAGATCACGAACAAGATGAAATTAACAATTGAGAAACACAATGCTGCCATTGATTCTCTTCGTGATTTTATAAACAGTTTACCCGATCGTCTGACATTTGACAACGCGAAAGATCCTACATCAGACCTTTATGAGGGAATTGAGTCTGGTGAGGATGACATTCTAGGGGAAGCCTCGGTCCCAGTATACACAAAGAGGAAGGCTATTGAAATGTACTTAATCCTAAAACGATGTGACGAGGAAGAGAAACTTTTAAACTTGGAAAGAGAAAGGCTTCTATTGTATTACACCAATCTTATCTCAAAAATTGATGAAGCACTTGCTGATCTTGGTGATTTGAGCAGCGATGAATTCATGCTTGGTTCAAAGCATGAACTGATAAGATTTAAAACCAAATTGCGGAATGAGTTGTTCAGCTTGAAGAAAAGTTTTGAGCTTCCACTTGGAGAAACTTTTCTTCTCCAGGCTGAGATTGTCAACTTAACCAATGATGTCAACATTCCCAATGAATCTGAAAGCTCGCCGTATGAGGAATCCGATACTGAAGAAGAAAACATCGAAGAGCTCTCAGAAGTGGACAGTGACATTGAATAGACGACATAGCTACCATTCGTAAACTAATAGCTACTTTCTATGTACTTATTATATAATTTAGTTGTTCACGTATCGAGTATAACTGATATCACGCAAACATTTGTGGTTTTGGGACGTCATGTTAGTGCACAGTCATTTTCTTCTTCTGTACAACACCGGAAGTTTTGACCTGTCGTTGAATTGTGAGAGAACTATGTTCTTTATTATTTATCAATGTCTTACAAGTAAGAGTTTATATGCGACATATATCCCAACCAATTAGCTCTGTCTGCCCAACCCAATTCATCTAAAATTGTGAGCATTCATATCATATATAAAATAGCCGAGACGTATCCAAAGCTTTGTCAGTTGATCAACGGGGTCTGGGGCGAGTTTTGAAAACACCGAATTTCATGATTTGTCCGTCTAAATCATCCAATTTGTCTTTTAACGTTACAAGCCTTCCCATGTTTCATATTTTGCTCGAGATTAACTCCAAACAGATGACTAACTTTACCGATGTTCAAGCTAACGAAACGATGCTGACGAGAGAGTGCGGTCTGGTTCGGCACCCTTGATGGCACTGCCGCTGTAAAAGGTAAATGAGAAATGAATCCGAATACGTGTTTGGATTGAAATAATATAAAACTCAAAATTATTAATCTGCGTTACTGAGCACTGTTGCCATTTCACAGAACACGTAAGCCATTTTACAGATCGAACACTCTTGTCATGTTGCACGCCTACGGTAATCATTGCACGTATTACGTATCACGCATTCTTGCCGTGAGCTTCAAATACTTCTACGCAATACCAACCCTCCCTACAATCACATTCTAAAGTAACATTCTGATGTTAAGAAAAGAACGTGATCGGTTTTTTGGGGGTTGTTTTTATTATAAGATGCTACATACTCTGCTACTAATAAGGTCCATGCTATAAGGGTCGTTGTACTAACTAAAAAAATCAATATTTTATTTGAAACATAATTTGTTAAAAAAAATTTAAAGCCACAACTGTCAACTATTTGCTGTAACAAAACATTGCTACTGGCTACTGCATACTTTTGTGTATCAATCACATATGCTCGATGATATTGATTATGCGGTGCTGTTTATTTCACAAAAGCACCGTAAAGTGAAAATGTCGACGCAGCGGAATTCGAATTTCGAAATGTTAAAAGTGGAATTCATTTATGATATATATGTTGCTTTATTTTGAGTGTTCGTTGGTACCGTAAATGAATTTATCAACGGCCAGGGCGTTTAATCAATTCTAGATGTTGTGGTGCAGCGAAATGAAAAGAGAGACGTGTATATTAGTTGTTTGTGTGAACAAATATAAAATAAAACTAAGACAAACTAAACTTCTTATAAGCCAAATTGTGAACCCACTATAATTAATATATCATAAAGGTAATGTTGTGAAGGTGGTGGGTGTCTATCGAGGACGGGACTTTATTAGTAAGTAGCGTTGCAAGGAGGGGGGGGGCGTTTAATATGTATAAGGTGTTAATTTAATATAAGGCATTTATTAGATCTTTTCGTCACATATGCCCATATATCATCTGAGAAATACAATTTGCCTTATGCAAACCAATGAGACCTTTGGGAAAACTTGAGAGCAGATCAGTGCAAGCAGGAGACCGAAGGTCTTGGGTTGCACGATTGCATCTGCTCGAGTTCCCACAAACGGCTTCAAGGTTTGCATAAGCCAGTGCAATGGTGCAAACACGAAAACAGTTTTACCTCTTGTATACAATGATACGAAACAATAATTCGAAACAGATAAATTTACATCGATATGCAAATTTTTTGGTTAATAGATTGATTTGATTGGTTGAGTTGAAGTCGGTTTGCACAGGTTAATGCACACACGGCTATAGACCAATCACCGAGCGGGTACTATTGTTTTTATTTTATATATGGACAATGGACATTACTCACATATGTTGCATACTCTTATAAACTGTACTGCCCGTCCATATTAAAGCCCATTTATGTCATTTGAGTTGAAGCAATGCCGAAAAAAGATGCATCAAGAAGAAAACATAAACCGTCTCACTTTCGAGAAGCTCGTGCAAATTGGTGAGAATGTCTCCACTTGTGGTGTTTTTTGTCAACCGGTGATCCGTGAACGCAGTCGCTTGTGTCCTTAATCGTTATATATGACTTTATTATAGGTTGTCAACTCTGTTTCATCAAGATTCCTTATGTCGCGTAAAATGCTCAGATGTTCTAAAAGTGTTGAGAAATAAATATAAGAGTATATCTGTTCGAGAGTGTGGGTTCATTGTACGAAAGTGTTTTCCTACGGTGAAGCGAATTCATAGCAATCATGTCTACTTTTATTCTGGCATTAGCCACATCGACGCCATTGAAAATGTTAACCAATGTCATACGGAAAATGGTATGGTTTAAAATAGCTAGCGCAGTCCCTAATTAACATAAATTTCAGAGGCACACGATAAGAATAATTTGAGGAAGGGCTTAATTTTTGTGTTAATTGTATATAATATTGAGAACCTTTTTTGGTGGGGGGGAATGATTTTCCATCTTGAGAAGAACTACCTTGGACATGGAGCAAACTTTATTTTCTTGTCTCATTTCATAGATTGCTCAACTGAGAATAAAATGCTATGTGGATTACCTGATTGCATGAGTATCAATCGGTCGGAATTGCTACGTTCCTCATCAAAGAAGCCTACATATTCATTCCCAAATGGGAATTTTGATAGCATGGAGTTATGTTGGTTTAGAGGAATGGCAGTTGCAGTGAGGAAATCTGAGTTTGATGTCATTGATGAAGCAAGAACTATTCTTAGCTTACCATCTCATCCATGTTTTCCAATCTTAATTGGTATTTGTCGGGATGAAAAGCCATTCATTTTAATAACAAAATTTTATGGTCATGTAGGAACTGGAGTGTACATGTCCTTGGAAGGATTGTGCTATACTCATGGAATCACTTTTGCCGAGTGGATATCTTTATTAATTAAGATATGGGAAGGCATAGAGTTGTTGCATTCTTGTGGATTTGCTCATGGAGGTCTTGGAGTTCAAAACATTATTGTTGTGAAACAAAAAGAAAAGAAAAAGTTTGGGTGCCAGTATTTCTGAATCTTAATGAAGTCAAAGCTTTATGTGGAAGTATTGACAACAACTTAAGTCAACAAGACTGCTTAGACTTTGGCATCTTGCTACATAAAGTAACTACTCTCCCTGCAATAAAAGAAACATATGCATTACGCCAGCAAGAGAAATTAACTCAATTGTCCAAAGCTATTTCTTCTGGTTGCAATGCATTGTCAATTGCAAGACGTTTAAAACATATTGCACAAACATAAATATTTTTTACTGATGCATAAGTATCTCAATTATTACAGTTATTTTTACAAATATGATATCTTATTTGCCCATCCATTGAATTGTGCATGTCTTTGTGTAGGTGAAAGGTAGAACCCCCCCCCCCTCAAAAAAAATTATTTTTCTATATAATGTAGTTTTTACTTTTGGGCTTTAATCTTCGAAATTTTAATTATAGAATTAGACATTCTGCATGGCTTATATGTGAATAGTAGAATATTACCTTTTAAAAAAACATGTTCAATCCAACTAAAGCTGGCTTATCTACAATCCAACTAAAACTGAAAACTGAGTTGATTACAATGCACATATTGCAGTGCTACCTATTACCATTGTAAACAATTTCATTGGTGTGAAATTGAAAACTATATGTATCCCTGTTTTGATAAAATTTGAGTAACTTTCCTTTCAAAGGACTTGTTCAATATGAAGGTTTGGGTATAATCAGTAAACCTATGAGTCTCAAAATTACATTGCCATTGTCCTTAATATTTTTTCCAAAGATTGTTTCCTTTTTTAATAAGGTGGAAGGTATTGCCTGACTCATGATTTAGCCAACATCCTGTCAATTTACCTCTTGCGCTTATCTGGTGCAGAGCTTGTAGAGATCCTGTAAATGAAAAAGCCAGAACTGACTTTCCTCATCATCACAGTACACAGGCAAAACGAAATGATTTGCCTGAGACACATATGCATTCAATTTTTTTTTTAACTCTGTCAAAGCTTCTGGACATAACACTTTCCAGTGTGTTGATATTATTTCTTTGATTTCAGAAATGCTATGTGTCTCATTAATATCCAATACCTCCACATCTTCTTTTGATACTTTAAAGTCACATTTTCCGAATACATTACTAAGCAATTCCTTGCAGTCTTCACCAAAATCTTGCAAAGGTGCACCTTCTGACGTTTCAAGAATGAAGGAAATACTGTCCTGGCAGTCCATGATTTTTTGTATTTCCTTTGAGCCATATTGTCGTGGCTTCTTTAGGCGAATGTTATCTGGTAGTCCTTCAACATGAAAACCACCAGAAAGATATGGAACGCGAGAACCAGTCACACCTTTTGCTTCACCTTTAAGAAAAATGCTCACTGACAAGAACTAACAAACATAATGACTTAACAACATGACTGTAAAAAGGGTAATTTTTACAAAATTACTCACAGGAAAAAATTTTGTATCTTCCATATACTTTTTATTAAAAAACAGAGAAGATTTCTTTATGCAGGTGTATCAAAAGGTAAAATTAAACTATCACTGTAAGGTAAACACTACCATTCAGGAATATACAGGCAACCTTTGTACATAACTGTTATTAACAACATTATACTGTTTTCAAAAGTATTTAATGAAAAGTTTATTCAAAAAAGATTTTTTTTAAACTTGCAGCCATAGAGTGAAATACTTTATCCAGGCCTGTGGTGGTTAAAATTACACCTGTATGATCACGTCACTCTCAATGGTGAAGACCTGCGTACAAGAATAAATAAAAAAATTAACTTACCATACTTCTTGTTAAAGAGCATTCTTACATCCTCATGAGTCCATTTCTGTTTTTCTCGGTCTACATCTACCAAATATAGCATACAAATTTTTTTTTAGCTATACAAACTACAATTTTATCCCAAAAAGCTTGCTTCGTGATTTTTCACACTTTTTAGAGAATTTAATGAAGAGAGAGAAATCACGAAGCAGGCTTGTCAATATAAAATTATAGTTTGTGAATTTTCATTATAAAAGTGTGCTCAATATCTTTATAGATTGAGCAAAATATAAATTCATAAAAGTAAAATAAAGCATCGACTAAACTGTCATTCACCTGGTGATTGCCAAAAGGCGTGAAACACAGTGTAGCAAATGGTTTCATGATATTATATACGTACACCACTTTATCGGATACCAAAAATACCTTAATATTTACCGTTAGAAATATGCTATTTTGAGATGGGATGAACATTTTGCAACCATACGTAACATGAAATTATAGTAAAGCTCTGAAACTTAGTCATATGTATGTACTTGACTACCATCCAGTAACTGGTATCCATGAAACTGGTGCTGACATATCAACAGAAGTTAAACTTTATGCCTATTACGAATTTGTGATCTTTGCAAATTTTTTACTCTTTACCAAACATTGCTTGAAACTTGCACAAAACTGCTGGTTCATTGTGAACAAATCTTTTTCCTCCTGATGAACCAAGGACATAAAGTTCTTTTTTTCCATTCACCAGTAAGCAGCTGGCCTGGCAACCAAGATACTCCAAGTAACTGAACTAAAAGGAAAGTAAAATAATTGATAATGGTTACATTAGGCATAAGTACTGCAAAAGCTATGTATAGTTTGCAACAATATGGACTTTAACAAATGGCATGAGATGACATTTGTTTTATTATTATTGCTACTATTTTTATTTACTATACATAGTTTCTGTTGTTGTTGGTATTGCTATGATAATTATTATTTCTACAAATGTAATGCTATACCATCAATGCTATTGTAATGATCATCATTACTGATGGAGAATTAAACAGAATCTTTTGTTGTCCAAACACTATTCTACATATCCCAAATTATATGACATATATGTCTGCATTACATCTGTGATCAAGACAGTGAAATACAAATATTGTCATAAAATATCAGCAACAGCAGCAACAACAATCATCTCTTCAGTGATTAATCTTCTTGGAACCAAAAGAATTTTACAATCACTTTTCACAGCATTTAGTAACTGTATAAATTTTCAATTTCACACAAACTTTAAACTTCATACTACCATTAAATATAGTTTATTATTATTAAATAATTTCTTCATTAATTCTTTCATAGCCTTATGAAACAGTTCAACTGACACATTCCACACAACCAGAATACAAAAAAGATTTTCATGCCAGATGACGTTCAAGTCAAATTTCATGCCAAAAGAAAAACAAGTTTGCAATAAGAAATAACTTTCTATCTGGTAATCACTGCAACCATGTTTGCACAAAAAATACATGCTCAAAACAAAGAGTTTTACTCAACATAACACTATTAGAAATGCATCCAATGTTAAGGCAATATAAACTTCCTTTATCAGAATACCATGAATTATGTACATTTCCAGAGACTAAAGTCTCCCCAATCAATAGCCTATTCTAATTTATTCTAATTACTTAATGCTACCTCTGCTATTCATTGCAAAATTAAATTATTAAAACGACTGTTACCTCCTCAGCTAAAAGTTTCATATGCTGATCAACCAATTTTGTTCTTTGAGCATCATCTAATGTCACTGGGTTGTTTTTCATGTAATTAGCTTTCTGTATGTATTTATTTTGCTCGGATTCTCCTAAACCAATCCATTTGACAGAAGCCAATTTATTTTTTTCACTCTGGTGAGACAACCCCTTTACTTCATCTGCAATAATGGATAAATTTGTCAGGCTTTCATCATAGTGAATTCTTGATGGGTAACATTCCTTAAACCCTTATTGATTATACTAAAGTGATTTAATATTTCATTCACCTGATTTAAAAATTCTGAGCAAAATAGATTATATCCGCTTGACCCCGTAATCTGGGTGGTGGTTTGGGGACTTTGGTGGATTACATGAGGGTAGAGGTGACTCAATTATTAGATTGACATTTTCTTTTGACAGAAGCAACTTTGTTGCCAATCCATTTCTGAAAAAGCATAATGTCAGTTGTGAAGAAGCTTTTGAATAATTTCAAAACATGCAGTATCAAACAAATTTTGTGAAATTTTTACTGACATTATAACATCAAGTGTTACAATAAAGCTACACCAGTTACTGTGTTTCACAGCCTATAACTCTGTACATAAAGGATGTCTATTGTATATCACAATACATTATAAGAATGTGCTTTTTGAAAAAAAGGAAAGTTTAGAGTAGAACTTCATACAAATTACTGTGGAGTAGAAATACAAATTTAGGGATGTGATTAAGATACGGATAGCTTTGATTTGATAGCGTTGGTTTCGTTGTTGGTTTATTGCATAAAGAAAAAATTTTAAAAGACGACGGACACAAAGAAGAGGTCGTTCTCACCTTGACCTTGTCCACAGACAACGACGTTTCTTCGGCGGCTGTTTTTATCAACTCAAAACACAGAGTAGATTTCATGCCATTCTCAAAATAGTAATTAAGAGCATCAATTTGCTCTCTTGAAAGTTTGTTATGTTTTTCAGGTCTGTTGTTCATTGTATTTAAATAATTCCTTTGGTATAGATTATTAGTGTATGTTTGGAAACAAAAATGGCGACGATCACAGATATTATTATCCTCACACGGTTAGCACTATTTTCCACCCAGCAAACCGCCCTTTACTTTACACAATCGGAAATAAATTAAAGATGGCGGCTAATGGGAAAGAACCAAAAGCTAAAAGGAAACCATGCATGCACTGGTGCTAGGTCGTTTTGAGATGGCGAGTAATTTTATATTTTTATAATACAGTTTTTAATATCAACATATGAAAATATTTACAGATAAATGTTGCAGTATAAATTTTCATGCAACCACCTTAAGTTATAAACTTATAATCCAGGCTGGAAAAGATGTCGTTTTCGACGATTGTGTAAAATATTATATAAATATTATATTGTGTAAAATATTATATAAATATTATATTGTGTAAAATATTAGATTGTGTAAAATATTATATTGTGTAAAATATTATATTTCAAAATAAAGGGCGGTTTGCTGGGTGGAAAATAGTGCTAACCTCCTTACACTAACAGTGTCCAGAGATATTGAGGTTAGGAGAGACAAACATAGCCTTCAGATAGCACAGAAAGCAATCTAAATTGGCTATCTTCCGCATTCTAAAATTTAGAACTCTGGGTAATACCCATTTAGAATGAGCGAAACGGGTGGCTTTAGATAGTCGTCGATATATTTTGCCTGGTCTGCGTCTGAGTTTACCCAATCCGGAAAGTCCGAAGCTTCTTGTTTCAACCGCAAAAAGAAATTTACATATTCACTAAATAAACTGTCCGATGTTTCTTCAAAATGCCAAATTTCATGCACCTCCAAAATTTTGTAGCCTTTTTCAATTGCCTTGTTCATTTCAATGGTCGTAAAAGTCCCGCAAAATGAACGCTGGTTTTCGGAATGATGACATTCTGCTGAGGCTGTTATAGCACATTGCTTACACAATGGAAACATTAATTTACCATTAACTTTTATCGGGAGCACGGGATGATACAAGCCTGCCTGTGCCAAAACGCGACACTTAATCAAACCGAAGTAATTTGAAAGATCTTCAAAATTTTTGCGAATAATTGTAGGGTGACCTATAGGATAACGGCGATTTTTCATAACGAATGGATAAAGACTTGTAAAATCGTTATAAAAGATTTTCTCATTTTCTTCAGCCTTACGAAACAGTTTAAAACCCTCAACTCTTCCACCAAAAAAGCTATCGGCAGGGTAAAGGTCTGTTATAAATTCATATGTGTTTAAAAAATGCTGCATTTGAGGAGTTTGTCTGAGTTGCTTGAAATCATGCTCCCATATGGTTTTTACTTTATATCCTAACTCCGTTAATCTTTTTTCACGCTCAATGGTTCAGTTATATGCTTCTCTTAGCGTTTTACCTGTACGGTAAGGATTTTCACTCTTCAAATCCAGGCATAAAGGGCAGCAGTGATAAACTTTTCCGTAGAACTCATACACGGTGTTTGTGTCTTCACAAAATCCATCGACATAGTAATGTTTATTTAACAACGGGTCATAAATAACTTTCTCCCCCCCCCCACCATTATGAAGAGCGTGTTTAATATTGCTTTTTGTTCGAAAGGAAACAAACTCCAGCCACTCAATGGCACTGTTTGAATACGGTTTATTGCTATCACGATACAAATTCCTAGGTACAATGCCAATGTTTTTTTCTTTTAAAGAGTTTGAACGAAACACTGCCATGACCGAAGACGCAATTGTACAAGAACAAAATGGGTCTACGCGTGTTTCGGCCAAAAACAACTTTCTGAATTCCATGCGACAAAAACGCAAAATAGTTACATCTTGAGAACAGTATTTCTACATTTCTTTTTGAAAGTCGAAAACGTATCCCTCATCAATTAAATTCTGATGCCATGCAATTAGCTCATCTCTTTCACATTTTGACTTTGTGTCGGGGCTATAATATTCAAGAGCCGGAATAGGTCCAACGTATTTCTGATTTTCTCGTGTGTTAAATTTAAAAGGGAAATCGCCTTTCGAATACATCGACAGATCCAATCCGAACGTTTCAGGCAAATCATAAAGAGGCATACTTAGGAAGTTTAACGAGTCGATTAGCGTCATCTGATAATCTTTTAAAAATAGTTGCATTACTTTCTGACCAGAATGAATGACATCCATATCGGATGTCGGCCGATATTGTAGGAGCCATTTTTGAATGATAACAGCATCAAATCCTTTGGCATTATGGGCAATTGCTGTATAGCCTATATGCTCACTTGAAAACAGAAACTCGCAAAAATCATTTAACGCATTGTATCCTTTGAAAACGCGTTTGTCACCTGAAGCGAACTGTAAAACTGCTAAATTCACAACGTGCTCTCCGCTTGTAAAATCCGTTTCGAAAACGTAAAAAATTAGTTTTACATTTGGCTTTTTTGCTTGTTCGGATTGAATAAAACATAAATGCCCAATATGAACCAGCTGTTTGCAGATATGACACTTAAATTCCCTGCACTTGTGTTCGTCTTGTCTATTTCTGTTGACAATGACATTGCACGTACGGCATTTATATGTGCTGTCACATTTTGAGGGAAGATCAAGTCCTTTTAATCTACGTTGTTTTTTATGTAGGTTGTAACATGCATTTGATCGGCATGGCTTATAACAGTCCGAGCATTCCCGCTGTTCCGTGGAATTAATGCACATCCTTTGCGTAAACATGTGCTGCAGACATCAAAACAAGCGTGATGAATATAGTTGTCTACAAAGCTTGAACAATGTTCACAGTAAAATCTTTTACCGAAAAAAGCTGGGAGCTTTGCCGGATTGATAACATTGAAATGATCTCCGTGTTTGTACAGCAATAGCTTCTTTACTCTTCTAGGCCCTTCATAAATTGAAGTGTTTCGTGCATCAAAGTCTATTACAATAATTTGATAGTCTGAAAGAACACCTTGAAACTTTGAAATTTCCCTCAATCCACATTTACCAGGCAAAATATTGGCACGTTTATGCAACTTTAAGGCTATTTTTTTGTATAGGCCTACCCATCTTCATTTGTCTTAATTTAGGATGGTGGTCAGCCATCCCTATGGCTACAACTAAAGCCAGAGCACAGCATAGGTTATCATTATTCTTGATAGTTACAATCGATTTTTTTAAAGTACTGTCTTTAGAGTAATCTAAGACTTTGAAGGCCTTACCACTCCCAACAGGCGCTTTTACACCAATAAGGTCGATGATGAACGAGTTGTCCAAAGGAATCTTCTCATTTCTCTGCAAAGTTTTTGTAATTTCACCCAAAATTCTGTTAGAGATAATTTCAGCGGCAGGAAGAAGCTTAGTGCTGATTGGTGTTTTCAAAGCATTCGATCCAATCATTACACGAAGACGATCTTCCAATGGTGTTCTAAAATCACACTGTTCTTTTACCTAAGAACATTAACATAAAAATTAAAAAGATGCTTTGTGTCACACAGCGCTTTTTTCACTCTTACCTGACGAATGGCGTCGTCAAACAAGCCATCGAGCTCAGTCATTATGTCTTTGACTTTTATTTGCTTATCGCGAACGGATAGATCGTCTAACTTAGCACGGAATATACACGACTTGGCACCAAATTTACGAACATATCGTTCCGAAACTTTTTTAAGCACAAAGTTAACAGATTTTTGATCATTTTTAGTTTGATTTTTTATGTTGTTTCTTACTTCCACAATGTCAACACTTTGCTGCAACAACTTCGTTGATTTTTTTACCCATTTTAACACTTTTGAAATATCCGTTTTATCTTAAGAGATTTCTTTCTGAACTTTTTTCAGCAAACGTTTTGCCTTTACATTTTTTTCTGATGGCTTGAACACGTAAACGCTCTAGATACTCTTTTCCCTTCATGATCATCTGGAGATGTTTTTCATGCAGTAATGGCAATTTGTGAAATCATGCTTCATTTTATAGCATATGTTCATTGAACTGCTACAGAGTAATTGAATAATTACAAACAGATTGCATCTTCAAGTGTTCAGGAAGGTATTGTGTGTGTGTGTAATGAACAAACACTCACAGCGATACATTACAAAAATTTATTGCGTGAATTTTTTATAGTTAGTTACAGTGATCAACCGTTTGTGAATGCAATGTTGCTTTTATTACTATTATTGCTTAACGTTTCGTGTTTATTCATCGTCCTGGAAAGGGTTGGTCCTTTTTTTCTGTTTCTTAACGGCGACCGTTTTAGGTTCCTTTTCTTTAGGCTCTTTCCTCTTACGGTGATTCAGTTCAACCTTTCTTTTTTTCTTAATGATCTTGCTATTCATAGTCACGTCCCCCCAATGGAAGAAGCTACATTTTTCACCATTGGCGACAGGTTGACAATGAAAGTATGGCCTTTCAGGATTATTGCTCGATTGGGAGACCATGAGACTACCTGGATTACCACATTCACACAGGGGGAACTTGTTAGGTTTGAATTCTTTCGCGACTTTCGTTTCGTAGGCATCCATTATAATATGGTACCTTTCTTCGTGGCAGAACAATGTGCATCCTTCACCTTTACATTTAACATATGCACGTTCGTCCTTCTTAGATACGATTCTCTAGAGGCCTGCACCACAGAAACATGGATATTTCTCAATGGAAACCATGATTTTCAGATTATTTGCTCTCCTAAAACAGATTTAACACGTTTATGAAGGACTGTTCAAGTTGTGTGTGCAACAGGAACATTTTCCACCTTTTTTAAAGTGTTGGCCTTCACATGAATAATCATTTACCAACGCATGATTTTCTTTAAAGAAGAATAGGTCTCATTCATACTGTGAGTAAAGAATTGAATAGAATCACATTCAAGTGTAAGACTCACGCTTGTTCAAATCAGTAACCCCTTTTTGGTACATTGTTTGATATCTTTCCAGAGGGTCTCATCATTAATTAACTGCATCACTTTCCTCTGTATGATACCGTCCCACACCGCTGGATGTTATCTTCACAACATGATTTTTCTTTTTAATTTCCCTTCAATATTGACTCATGTTCAAACCGATACTTTGTTCGCATTGTCAGGCATCTTTCCTGGGGTCTTTATCATTTACTGTATCATGTCGGTATGTTAAAGGCTCTTTTCATTTCCCTTTAATATTGACTTATGTTCATGCCGCTCCTTTATTCACATCGTCAGGCATCTTTCGTAGGTCCTTATCATTTACTGCATCATTCCCCTCAGCAGGATTCTGCACAAATCTTACCCACGCCTCATTATTCAAGGTCATACTATTCAATAATAATTTTTAATTTACACGTGCGAGATGACAGCGAAGGTCATATCTCAAGCGCATGCGCTGTGTACTTCAACCACTTGAAATACTAAAAGTGTTTTGTATGTGTTAAGACAATAAAAACTATGCAAAAAATCAAGACACGCAAATCGGAAAATCTGGCAGAATGGCATCGCAGCAGACAGAATACCATGAAATTAGTAAGTGCGAGCTCTTTCTGTTTATTTCAAATTAGAGAATGTTTTTCATCTTCAACAGAATCTATCTCCTCATTTTCAGAAAAATGTAATCACTGTCGTGATTTGTACATCACGGCTAAATGTGGACATACTGTCCATCTGTCCCCGTTAATGAAGTCACGGGGAAAATTCAAGTGCAAAATTTGCGGGTTTGTATGCCTTTAAAGATATTTTAATCTCAGGCTGCGTTTCATGTCATTGATTTTTACTCTTCATTCATGTAGTGTATCGGACGCAGGTGTCGATGTTGCTGTCCGTCAATTTGTGATGTAAGTTTGTAATTCATATATATATATATATATATATATATATATATATATATATATATATAATGATAAAATTTTATGCATTGCTCACCTATATAGGTTTGAGCGCTCTGGTGACTCTACAATACAATCCATACAATGTGTAACCGTACGTCCTGTGTCCCAAGTGCAGGAGTCACCATTGCACTTTGGTGATAGCCGGGAGGGCACATTGTATATACACTTTGTATATATATATCACCAAATTAAAATGGTGACTCCTGCACTTGAGACACAGGACGAAGGTATAAACTTTCATACGGAAGCAGCAATTTTATATAGTGGTTCTTATTTCATTCATTCAGGAAACTGTGTACTGAGGGCATCATGTTTGACGTTGAACATTGACAACGTAGATTTAATGTAAAAATATAAATAAAAATTTACAAATGCTGAATGACTCGTTTTTTAAGTTTGTTCATTTTATCTGAAACAAATATTTTAAGGCAATCTTTACAAGTATATTTTAGTATCTCAAGTCCGTTAACGGGTGGGTCGACATCTTCAATGCTTTTCATAAAATCTTTGATCACAATCTCTTCGGACACATTTTCCAAGGCAGAATCAAAATGCAACAACATACGCTCGTCATGTTCCATCATCAAAAGTCATGCTCGAGTTGAGAGGAATGGACAATCATTCATCCATTGCAGTTCTTATTTACTTCAGCGTTTATCATTGCAACAATTTCTTCAGCATAGCAGTCTAAAAGTTTATTTTCTAACAAACTTTGACGTACAGTTATTTCATTCTTTTCTGACTCCAAAGCCAATTTGTTCATTCTTAATGCCTGATCAATGTCTACAATCAATTCCATTCGTTTCAAGAGATAAAATGTAAACCTTTCGATAAAGTATAAGCTATAAAATGCGATTACCTCGATTGAGAAAAGGAAACGGATGTACTATTACTTTGTCAATAGCATGCAACTTCCAGCTTTGCCGTATTTCCGATTTTCACGCCATCCAATGCCATGCCCTGTTTATTAACCCCTATTTCCGGTTGACATGCGCGCGCACCGATCAACCTCAGGGGACTGGAAACTAACTGGCACGGGTAAGAGCTCTGTGGCAAAAGTGTGACAAAGCTGCACCTTATCTACTAGCGGTGCAAATCATAAAACTCCAATCATGTCGGTCTCGCTCAAAGTACCAATTGTAATAAAGAACAACATTTACGGGAAAATTTTCCCACGAGTGCTTATTTTTTGATATATTTCTGCAAAGTCTCGAGCTCCATGTTGGCGAAGTACGTATTTTCTGCAATTAGCAAATGCTTAACGATAAGTATAAATTTGATAATGAAGCATAAAATCGCCTACTGCAGGTAAACCAAAAACTCCTGAACAGTTTTCAAGTTCTGATGTTTGAAACGTAATTTTGGTACGGTACAATCAGTCCCAATAACTCTTAATCTTGAGCCATTGTACAAAGAATAATGAGTTACTCCAAACGAAAATGCAGTATTGGAATCAACCCATGCTAAGATTGTATCATTTGTGTATAAGTCGTTAAAAAAGCTACTCCAGATATGTCTATTGTAGCCAATGCAAGCACTACGTCATGGTAATTTTAAAAAAGTTTTGTAATTTCTAGGCAAGGGCTCGTAAAATATCTCAATTTTGTAAAGTGGCAAATATTTATCAAATTGTGCTTTTAAAGATATTGAAAGTTTGTGGTCAAGTCTGGATTCTTCATCAAGAACTAGCACAGGTTTTCGTCAGGACGGATGCCAAAACAAAACTAATGTCCTCAAAAAGTCGCAGTAAAACCGTTCCAAATGTTTAGCTGTAAGTCGCTAAACGGACGGTACCTTTGAAAGAGAATAATCATTTCTAAAATTATAGGTTTTAGGTGCTCTGATGATATTAGATGTCAACGCATTTTCATTATCTTTGGTTCTCGGACTTGCTTTTTGAGTTGTCCCACATCGACAGTCTGCATTATCAAACAAATTTGGACGTTTAACACTTGACACATTTTGGAATAAAATAATGTTGAAGACAATAGCCACATCTGACGCCATGAAAAAATATTTTATTTTTTTGCCTTTGCACAAATTTCGCTGCGTGCCCTTGCACAAAAGGATGAAAGGAAGGCAGGTCTTAGGTAGAGTATCAGAACTGTTTAAAAATGATGACTGAGGAAGATCTTTGGCTCAATTTTGCAGCTTAAGCAGTCAAAACAATTAATCGCGAGCATGTCAGGAATGGAATATGTGAAGCCTTTAAGTTTGTAAAGAACTATGGACCTTCGAACTCTCATAAGACATATTTTGACAAACTGTTTAGTGATAGAACTAATGTTATTGTACACGGAGACAAAACGTCCGCATTTTTTTCAACATATCTTTGACTATGCTGATTGTAGTTGTAATTTGAAATACAAATCAATTATGTAATTGCTTTGACAAAGAAATAAAATATAAATTTTAATGTTATTGCATTTTGATTTCAGTTGTTTTATGACCATGTTAATGTGAAAATGGGAATCGGTAGCAGCAAACGTTAAAATAGACATGCCAAAAGGGATAAAAGTCATAATCGTCAGAAAATGTTTTGCTTGGGTATAAGTTTCGGACGCAACGATCACAATCTTGAGGTCATTTTCAAGCAGGATACACAAGTAAAACGGTCAACAATTATGAAACTATTGAAGTTAAGGCTGTAACAGACAACACAGTAGAGGAAACGTCATCTTTGAACGAGAACATTGAACCCTCAATTTTAAGGGTGCACTCCGACCCCAAACGTTCAGGAAGCTATGGGAGTGTTGAACGCTTGTACAATAGTGTGAAAACTGAAGGAATATATGATATTAGTCGTGAAAAAGTTAAAGAGTGGTTGAGCCAGCAAGATGCATATACAATAAATAAACCAATTCGAAGAAAGTTTGAAAGAAATTGCGTTCTGGTGAGCGGTATCGATGCACAATGGCAGTTGGATTTGGCAGACATACAATCTCTACAAAAGTATAACGTAGGTTATCGGTATCTTCTTATCTGTATCGATGTTTTTTCAAAGTATGCTTCTGTTGTTCCATTGAAAAACAAATCAGGCTGTTTATTAGTGGACGCTTTTCCGAATATATTATCATCAAGACGCAAGCTGATTCACATTCAAACCGATCAAGGCTCGGAATTTTTCAATCGGGACTTTAAGAAACTCACGACAGAAGAAAACATTAAATTGTTCAACACATTTAACGAGACAAAGGCATCTATTGCTGAACGTTTGATACGTACACTGAAAGCAAAAATGTGTCGTTATTTTACTGCAAATAAAACGATGAGATACATTGACATGTTGCATGATCTGATGTATTCTTATAATCATAGTATGCATCATAGCATCAAGGAATAACCGATCAACGTTACAAGTGAAAATGAAGATAGAATCTGGCAAAGTCTATACGAGGATAGCAAACTAAATAAACATACACGTGTAAAATATAAGTTTGATATTGGCGATGAAGTACGAATAAGTAAAATAAAGCGAAAGTTTGCGAAGGGGTATTTACCAAATTCTTCAAAGGAAATTTTCACTGTAACTCAAAAAATACCACGTAATCCTACTGTATACAGGGTAAAAGATTAAGATAGAGAAGAACTTCAAGGAACGTTTAATGAAATTGAACTTCAAAAAGTCATTAAAAAAGATGATGTCTACGACATTGAAAAAATATTAAGAAACGAGACAGAGGGTGTAATGTACAATATCTTGTAAAGTGGTCAGGTTACCCAAATAAATGTCAATCTTGGGTAACTGCTTCAGAATGTATTTATGAAACGTAACTGTGTGCTTGATCTCTTTCATTTTAGAATTTATATCAATGATAAGCGGAACACGCTTTTATTTGACATTACCTAGTAATGCATCTCTGCATATATCTCCAGATAATAAAGATTCAGGTTATCGTGTAAAATTACCTTAAGTTGTGAATTTTAATGGTAATTGGAAGTAGGGTTGTATTCAATTACATAACCTCATACATGGTACACGTTGAAAAAAGGTTTAGATACACATATATATGTAACTTACAAACCAGGTCTACCTACTTCGGTAATTGTCAGCTATGGCTTGTATGAAAAATCTTTCGACCTTGTAAAAGCAATTAATGAGACTCTTGACAAAGAAGTAAAAGACAATATTAAATTGAGCTTTCACCCCCGAACAGAAAACGTTAAAGTCCATGTAAAACAAGGTTACAAAGTATTATTTAATCAATAAATGTTGATCTTACTCGGCTTTGGAGGAAAAGAATCAGATATTTTGAAAACAACCGAAAGCCCTTATGCTTCTGATTTGCACGGATCCGTCATGATGTATGCACATTGAAACATTGTACAACTGCAAGTTTTTAGAGGAGTAAATGTAAAATTACTAAATGCAGCTGCTATTCAAGGAAAATATGGAGACATTGTTTCAAGAACATTCACTAATATTCAATATTTACCCTTGCAAACAATATCTTTATAGGACATTGAAATTCTCTTACGTGACGAGTTAGGAAATCCCATCTCATTGGAACAAGGGAAGTCGATAGTGACACTTCATTTCAGAAAACAAGCTTTATCTTATTTTACATACGAAAAAAATATGTGTCGAACAAACCGTTATGTTCAATATTATCTCAATTAGCAAAAGGATACAGCTCGCAACCTGTTTTTAAGGGAGTATCCTGGCAAAAGAGTTATGGGTTATGGTATTGGTGGTTTATTCCGTAGATTGGCTAGAGTTGCAATACCTTTGGCAAAAACCAGCGCAAAAGCTCTAGATAAAATTTCCCTCGATATAGGTGCAAACGCTTTGGGCGATGTTATCTCAGGGAAAAAATTAAAAAATTTTTGAGGGAAAAAAGCTATAAACCGTATGCAATAGTTAGTATAAACAGGAATAGGAAATCCCCAGAAGAAACAGGCCAACAAAAAACAGCTAAAAGGAGAAAAGCATCGTCTTCTCATGTCATTTA